AAATAGAAAGGGAATCATCCCTAACTCATTCCTGGAGGCAAGTATTAACCTAATACCAAAACCAGAGAAAGACCCAACAAAAAAAAGAGAAGTACAGGCCATTCTCTCTAATGAATATAGATACAAAGACTTCCAGTGAAGCAGCAGCAAATAGAATGCAGCAAAACATCAAGAAGATTATACACATAACCAAGCGGGATTCATCCCAGGAATTCAGGGATGGTTCTACATATGCAAATCAATTAATGCAATACACCATATCAACAGAGCTAAAGAGAAGAATCACATGGTCATCTCAATAGATGAAGAAAAAGCTTTTGATAAAGTCCAATAGTCATTTATGATGAAAAAACCCCTACAGGAAATTGGAACATGGTCTTTACCTTCATTTCATAAAGGTCATCTATGACAAAGCAACAGCCAACATCATACTAAATAGACAAAAACTGAAAGCTTTCACTTTAAAATCAGGAACAAGACATGGATGCCCACTGTCATTCCTATTCAACATAGTTCTGGAAACATTAGCCAGAACAATTAGACAAAAGGGAGAAATAAAAGGAATAAGCATGGCAAAAGAAGTGAAATTATCATTATTCACAGATGACATGATACTGTACATAGAAGATCCCAAATTCCACTAAAAGACTCCTAGAATTAATCAGCACAATCAGTAGCATAGCTGGATATAAAGTCAACACTCAGAAAACAGTAGTATTCCTGTACACAAACAACAAATACACTGATAGAGACATTAGAGAAACAACACCTTTCACAATAGCATCCAAAATATTGAAATACTTAGGAATCAATCTAACAAAGGAAGTAAAAGAGTTATACAGTGAAAATTATAGTACTCTGAAAAAAGAGATCATTGAGTATTTCAGTAAATGGAAAGATATTCCTTGCTCATGGATAGGAAGCACCAACATTGTGAAAATGGCCATATTCCCAGAATTGTTATATAGATTCAATGCAATCCCAATTAAAATACCATTAGTATACCTCACAGATCCAGAGAAAACATTCCTAACATTCTTCTAGAACCAGAAGAGACCTAAAATAGCAAAAGAAATCTTGGGCAACAAAAACAGGGCAGAAGGCATCACAATCCCTGACTTGAAATTATACTGCAAAGCTATGGTGATAAAATCACCATGGTACTGGCAAAAAACAGACCTGAGGATCAATGGAGCAGATTAGAAGATGCAGACATAACCACAAACACACTCAGACACCTTATCTTTGACAAAGGGGCCAAATATG